TATTAACTGTCAACCCTCCCGAATTATTAATATTATCTCCATTTCGTCCACTATGATTATTTTCTGTAGAAACCTCGTTGGTCCAATTACTCTGACCTTTATCAGTAACCGAGCCATTATCCCAGCCGCTTTTAGCATTTTCCGCCGAATTATCACCCCATGAATTTGGAAATTGATTTTCAGCACTCCAGTCATTAGCAGCGATATTGTCATTGCCCCGGGCATTAAGACCTTTGGAATCAGAAGACCAGCTTTCGTTGGCGTCATTCCAATCACCACCAGAACTGTCGTTATTACCCCAGTTATCAGTAACTAATTTTGCGTGAGCACCGTTGTTCGTGTCATCGTGATTGGAGGTGCTTGGTCCATTTTGTTGACGTGGAGGTCGAGTATAACCTAAAAAAAGCCGATAAACTTGAGATGAATTACTTAAGGTAATGCGATCGTCTTGTTAATTATGAAATCATACCCGAACTGTTATCTCTCTTTGGCCCTCGAGAACGATCAGTATTTCTTCCACTACGAGATCCACCTTCTAGAATAAATACATATGCATTTAATAACTAATTTACATAAAACCGAAAATTCAAGAGTGCCTTACCACCGCGGGTCCGACCACGATCACTATAACCGCCTCTTTGGTGTCCGCGTTGAGCGCTGCCAGATTGTTGTCCGCCTGTCTTAGCTTTATTGCTCTGTTCCTTTTTAGACTTGCGAGATCGAACTTCACCCCATTGACTAGCATGACCTAAAAAAGATAAAAGGCATAGTTTATAAGCTCACGACTTTTAAATGAAAAAAGGGGAATTCAAAAAAAAAACAAAAGGTGCACATTTCTGTTGTGAAGGATAAAAAAAATTTTTTAACATCCTAAAATAATTTGGTAACCCATATAACAGGGCGAGAGGGACGAATTTCAAATAATGGATTGTTGAAAACCCGCGTATTACACGGTAGTGGGTTTCTGTCAAACAAGTCAAATAACGTTCTGCCAAAATCAGCTTAATGAATGCTTCAAACAATTTTACACAATAGCCAAGTAATCTTGTAAGCCTCAATAAATTCATCCATTAAGCTCATACAAATGGTTTTACATCTAAAATATTACGACAGCAGGTCATAAATTAAACTTACCCTCACTAACTCGAGTAATCGTAAGCTCAAGGTCGCCCTGAGCTTCTTGTAGAGCAAAGAGTAAATCTGCCTCCGTCCAATCAGCAAATAGCTCCTGTAATTTGGTCAATTCATCCTTATATTGAGATTTAAGATGTTTTTCTTCTTCTGTCTCTGCTATGTCTGTGGCGGTATGGCTACTCTTTACTGCCGGATTCGTTCGTTGTGTCTCGTGTTCGAATGAACCCATGGTTATAATTGATTTATAACGGTGAGGATGAAACTGACTTTACTCTTTTAGCTATTTTAATGTTTATATTTTATAGGAACCAAAAAATTTTTGGTCACGTATAAAAAGGGGTTCTCGTGAATTGTCTCATCTGATCAATTTTTCAATCCTTCATTTTGATTTGCTAACATGATTTATACGTATTAAAAATTGTATGGTTTG